AATAACCGTGCACCGTGGATAGGCTGCCTCCACGGTTTACGCGGTGCTACCACTCTTCGTCGATAGTGTTGCAAGTTTGGATTCAAAACCGAAGTCGCTTCACCTCTTACCAGGGCTAATTTCTTTGCCGTGAGTTTTGTTTTTCCCCTCAAAGATTGAGTTTGTGAATGCGTCACTGTTTGATGATCTTTCCAATTTCTATTGGTCCGTCAGCTACCCACTTTTCACCCTCCCTCTACGCCTTGTCTTCTAGTTCGTCTCCTCACACACTTCACATTTCGCGGACACCTCTGCCTGGTGTTCGAGCTGCTCTCGCACAATCTCTACGACCTCCTGCGGAACACCAACTTCCGCGGCGTCTCGCTCAACCTCACGCGCAAGTTTACCCAGCAGCTGTGCTCGGCGTTGGAGTTCCTCTCGCGGCCCGACCTCCAGATCATTCACTGCGACCTCAAGCCCGAGAACATCCTCCTCATCAACCCCAAACGCTCGGCCATCAAGTTGGTGGACTTTGGGAGTTCGTGCCACGTCAACGAGAAGGTCTACCAGTACATCCAGTCGCGGTTCTACCGGTCGCCCGACGTCCTTCTGGGTCAGGACTACACCATGGCAATCGACATGTGGTCGCTGGGTTGCATTCTCGTCGAGTTGCACACCGGTGAACCGCTCTTCGCTGGTCAGCATGAGGTAAGGGGATTGGCTGGTTATTCATCCCTTTTGATTGGTCGTTTGAATTCGGAAAAATTGAATGCGGCGCCTATCGAGAGTCATAATTAAAACAGCTCGATTTCGTCGATTAGTTGAAAATAAACTATCTTTTTAGAGGAAAATTTGACCAAAGTCCGAGTTGACTCGCCCAAATTGATGGTGATGATCAAATCACAACGGCAATTTGCTTAGATCAGATCAGATAACAGTGCAGGCGATCGCAGAGCGATCAGCTGAGTCATCCACACAAATTAGCAAACACTTGAAGTGTTTTGCATTACTTGAGAAACTACATTCTACCATTGCACACACAAAACATGTAGGAAGCGGTTTTAACGCCACAAATGTGCCATCGTCATTGCTCACTGCATCCCACTTCTGATTGGTCGTCTATTCTCCGTTTGAACTTGGCGCTTAAATTCAAATTCTAAAAGATAACTGCTACTTATAATTTAGTAGTAGCTTGTAAAAAAACGTGTAGGGTGTTATACAACCCGCTAAATCGTGCCTATCAAATTTGTCAAAAACATACAATCAGACACTGGTGCTGCTTCATGAGCGCTCACTGCGTCCCTTCTCGCTATCGATTTTAGCTGGATCAAATGTTGAAGATAATTGAAGTCCTCGGGATGCTGCCAAGTTACTTGATTGAAAAGAGTCGCCGATGGCCAATGTTTTTTGAGCGCGAGCCTAGCGGTAACTTTGTGCCAAATTACCAGGCCTCTATGAAAGACAACGTCAAAGTGAGTCCTTTCAATTCCTACTTAATGGGACAAACTACACTACTTATTTGTAAATAGTAGCGTGCGTGAATAACTTCGTTTTTGAGGCGATAACACTCTGCGGCATTTTGCAGATAAATTACAAGGCGCCGGGAGCACGCAAGCTGAGCGACATCTTGGGCGTGAACAGCGGTGGGCCGATGGGTCGGCGTCTTCAAGAACCCGGTCACTCGCCGCAGGACTACGCCATCTTCATGGACCTCGTGCTGCAGATGCTCATCTACGACCCCGAGAAGCGCATCCGTCCCACCGAGGCGCTGGCTCATCGATTTTTCCGTCGTCAGTCCGTCCAGCTCACCAATGCGTCGCGCAGCCTCGCTCTGAGTGGTCATCACGGACGTCAGCAGCCGGGCCTTCTGACCAATCCCGATGGTAGGTTGCGCTTCAGCGCGTTCCGCTCTACGCATCGCTGATTCAGCGGTCGCACGTCCTCGGCAATCTTGAAGCCTCAAGCCAAACTTCTATCCGCACGATTTTTAAGTATTCAGTGATTGGTGGATTTGAATTATCCCGCGAAGGGGGATTAAACGCAGAGCTTGTTATCCGATTTTGTGCGAACTTGTAAAAAAAGGTGAAATTTTTTTTATCAATCACACTCGTGAGCAAAAAACGTCCCTCATTTCCCTCTAACTCGCGTGGCGCACTTGCGCGCGCGTGCGTGCGTACGCGCGCCTGTTCCAATCGATTTCCGCGCGCGTGCGTGCGTGCGACTTCAGTGACGTCAATCGGACGCGTCGCGTGCGCGCGCGCGTGCGTGCGTGTGTGCACACGCTGGCGTGCGCTTTGTGTTTGTGTGGGTTGACTGCGCTACACGCCGTGGCGGTTGCCTATTTATTCGTGTACCATAATTCTTTTGGCGGCGGCGGTGGGGGACGGTGGAGGGGGTAGGGGTGGCCCTTTGAAGTGTGACGCGGCGCGCACTTCGGCTACACCCACGAGAGGCAATTGCTGGAATCGTGTGCGATTTACTTGACGTGTTTGCGGCGGTCCCTTGCACTCACATTTACGCAACCGGTTGACGATTAAGCCGGACGCGCTGTTTAGAATTGTGAGAATGCAAGACACGTGAATTAGAGGCTTTGTGTGACCAATCGCGTTCTTGTTGCAGCACTGTTCTATCAGCGTCGAGGGGCCGGTGGTGGCGGTGGCGGTGCGTGGCTTCAGAAAAACGCCCTGGTTAGCGGCGGTGGAGGTGGTGGTGGTGGCTCAGGCGACTTCTTTATCGATCTGCCCGCAGCCTCAAGGGGGTCTCCAGGCGACCCGTCGGGGGTTTTCGCGCCCCCCGGTTACCCGACGCTCCACCAGCCGCCTCTCACCTTCCACCCGGCCACCGGTGCTCCTCTCTCGCCCTACGACCCTCGTCGTCGGTACTCCACTCGCAACCAGGCCCCCAACGACCTCACCGTGGGCATGGCACCCCTCTCCTACTCCCCTCACGCCAATGGCGGTGGGGTACCGCTTTGGCGTTGATTGCAGCCCTATCCTCTACTCTTTTTGTACAGTCCTAATATGTACTGAACTCTGTGATACCTTTTTCTCACACACACACACACAAACCCACACACAAAAAACCACGCACGATTATCCAACTTGCTCGCCTTTCCCTACTCTATCGAATTCGACAGGCAGTGCGTTGTGACTACACGATAAACCTGTTAATAAGGGGATTTTTTGTTTATTAACGGACTGGAGTTGCTTGGCGCACGGACAAGTGTGCTTCTAAATTAGGGGTTTCAAAGCCTTTGATCTCCTCCCTGGCCCTAGTTAGTCGATGCCGTGGTCACTTGGAGTTTGTCGACGTTTCGCCAGCGTCTGGCTTCAACTCCACAACCGGCAATCTCTCCCGAGTAGCCAATCACGTAGCAGGGCGCCCGTTTAGTGAATGATGCCAACTAGTGGTGGACTTTAGCCTGGCGTAATGGACGCTAGTTCTGGCCGTATGCCTGTATCGTCGTCGTCGAGCACAATTCGGCGGAAATCTTCCAATTACGGCTCTTGTCCTGCTTCGTTAGTCAGTTACAGTAACCATGTCAGTCGGTTATCTAACGCCATGAAAACAGCCACACCTGTACACAATACCTTAGTTGTGATCTCACG